AGGTTTATTAAACTCTTCACTTACACCAATATCGACCGATGTTCTAGTATTAAACTACGTTATTTTCGTCAAGCTTAATGAATATTTAGGAAAACATCCCACATAATGCTTAAAAATCAATACATAATATGTATAATATGTCTTTTCATGCCTTTACTGTATTTACTGTGACAACTGTGCTTAGATCTTAAAGAGCACACTCAGAGATGACCCAGAGATGTATCTAGTGAACCTTATTAAGTTTGATTGGTATTATGTGATTGAAGCTATTACAGTGGAGTGTTTGTAGACAGCTGCACTAAATAAATTTATGGAATCTATTTTTTGAAAAGGGTTTACCTTCTAATTGATGAAAGTTTTGAGGAGTTACGTTAGAAAGTGAAGAGTTACGTCAGAAAGTGAGAATAATTATCGTTCGCTTTCGTTAGCGTGTGAGATACTTTGGAGGCGAAACCTTGACGGCAACGAGAACCTCTTGGCTCTACTGGTCAAAAAAGAACTCACTCACGCAAATCCGCTTACTGCGCATACTACTGTTGAACCAGAATTTTTCCCACTGCGAGTTAGAGCTATCAGATTCGGTGCGTCAATCAATAACGAGTATTCAGAGTCTGGGTAAATAATTTAAGGTATGAGCATGGCGTACATCTAAGTTCAATCGTTTCACACAACATCATATTCATCGAAAATGAAAAAAGGGAAACACTACAAAAGAGCAGAATTTGGAACTGCTTGCATGCTCCATCCTGTGAATGTAACCCTTGCAAAATAATTCTTATTTTAGTCACATATTGGTTTCTGATCGCAGTGAATTTGCCACCAGCTGAAATTCCTGCGGTGAAGGAATTACATTACGGCTCTCCAAATATTTTTCACAGAATTCATATTTGGTTAATGATAACCAGTTTCCTTAAGCACAACCGGTTTTAACGTGTTTAATGACACGAAATCTTTTCCACGAGAGGCCGAGTCCAGGAATAAAGAAGGAGACCATTATCCTTTGCACGCCCCATTGCTGTTTTGATAACGTCACTCTAGATTAAATAATCAACCGAAAACTGCCTCCGGCAGGCGTTCCGCACGTTAGTCTGTTCAACGGAACCAACCAACCGGTATTGATTAAACCCATTTTCGAAGGATATTCCAAGTTCTTTGTACACATGATTGACGGACCCGGCTTTGTGAAAAACACAATACAACTACACACTGGATTATTGATTGAAAAGCTGACATGAGGAATTCTCAAGATAGGAAAGAGGTATCTTAGAATGAGTTAACTTCTCTAATTGATCATTATGGCAGATTTAATACAAACATGTACCTTGCGCTCACAGCCTTTGATGTTTAGTTCTTAAACGAAAGCAGCCATTGAAAACAGATGCAAATCGCGAACTGACCTCCGTGTGCTAAGCCTACGTGTAACGCAATGAAAATTGCCTCGAAAAGGCCTTGTGACAAAACAGTCGGTAGAAGGAATAGAGGTGTGCCTGAAAGGACTTACAACCATGACCCTTAGACAGGAATAGACCAGAAAAGGAGGAAAACACCGTGCATATTAAGACTTAAGGGTCTCATCGTTGTTGTCTGACTACTGTCAAATGGGCAAAAAACTAATCGTCAACTGTAAATATGGCAGGTTATCAGGTCTTATTAGGGTCAAAATTACTGTGCAAACCTTATTTCAGTTTTAAAACTATCTTTTTATTTATAACGTTTTTCAAAACCTGTCTTTTTTCTCTGCAATTATTTTCAAATAGTAGCCGTTGCTGCATGCTTACATACGAATAAACTTTACCTCGACATTTCCTACTACAAATAAAGTCTTGCTGCGCTTTTGTTGTGGTGAATGAAGCACACGCGATTTCGGACTTTTGAATCGTAAAATTTAATTTGTGAGCACAATTGCTTATCTAGAAATCGAATGTCAAACTGAATGAAATAGATTTCTTGATAAAGCTTTTCATAAGATTAAGATAAGCAATTGTGCGCACACATTAAACATAATAACGTACCTGTCAATAAAGCTTGCTAAAGGTGATTGTCAAAACTCTTCGGTACTCCCTATTTAGAATGAAAATCGTGTCAAGCTATACTGTGTTCAAACAATCAGCTATAAGAATAACTTAATACACAGATGTACTTTTCCTTCTATTCCTTCTATTTCTATATATGCCGGTAGTTAGCGAGAGGTCTGCTAGGGGTGTAGCCGGCTAGGATGCTATTGTTTTCCGATTCCGGCTCATGGAGAGGTGTCAATCATGATATTTCGGCATCTTGATCGTTAAAAGTGTCAAATTATTCGCCAATATCGTTTTAGAAAAGTATAAATAGTCACGTCAACAACGTTTCGTTCCAAGGGTAATAGATACAAATCATGCGATCACGCCGACAAAAAGTTGCGAAAAAGTCCTGCTAATGTTGTATTGTGCTATTGTGCAAGTGCTCTTTCAAATTGAAATGTGACACTAATGGGTAACGCTGTGTATCGCCGGAAAAATTAGTTGATTGTTCAAATCACGATGGAAGTCATAAATAAGTGTTGCTGTTAAAATGCCAAGACAGTCTATCGGCCCGCGATCAGGCTCTCATTATTATCGCTTCTGGAGATCCTAGAGCACAGCGAACCTGTTACCCTTTCAGGTCTCGACAGTTTGCGATTCGTCGATCACGATTAACTCCAGTGCCTCATGCAATTTCGAACCTGTGTTCTTTAGATTTCTCTTAGCTTGCAGAGCAGGCGCAAATTTGGCGAGCGACTGCTCAGTATTTTCCTGGTGAAAATTGTGACCGCCATCTTTTATTTTAATGCTAGCGGAAAAATGAGGAGAGAAAGAAATTTGTACCAAGGGGGTGAGCGACGGTCAAAAATAATGAAAGGGGTGGGGGTGAGAAGTGATTATTTCGCCTTTCCCAGCTTCCATCCCCCCACCGCTGCCTCTATCTCTGAATCAAACATGGCCGGTTGAATAAGCGATAGCGAGCTTCTTAACGTTAACTTGCTCTAATAAGACGGCTGCATTACAGGCTAGATTTCACTGGAAATCGCTCTCTATACTTTTTGGGCTGATGCGAAAATCACTTGCGTGATTTTCCTTCCCTTAATTGATCCTCAATTAGTATAGGTAATCACTTGATTTCGAGTGCAATTTGGAATAAATGAGCACGAGTAAATTTTTTCAAAGACCAACAAAATTGCACGAGCTAGTGTTTTATTCCAAAGTGCACGAGAAAAATCCTGTGATTACGTATTAATAATATACATGGAAAAAATACGAGATGGCTTATCACAATTATGCAGAGGCAAAGCGCGCGCATCAAGTGAAAAAATAATTTGTTCAAACCCTGCGTACGATCAAAACAATAATATAAAATGATATTTTCACATCTTTAGGGCTCAAAAAAGTTCTAAGTCCGGCTAAACAGTTCAAGGAATTGTTCAGTCTGGTTTGTTACTTCTTCTACATTGAATTTCCTGAAACCTGCATTCATCTTAACCAATCAGAACTGAGTAATTTTTTCATGTATCTTATTATAGTTGTTAGTATAGGTAATCATATAATTTCGAGTGCAATTTGGAATAAATAAGCACGAGTAAATTTTTTTCAAAGACTAACTAGTGCAATTTGTGGTCTTTGAAAGAACTAACAAGTGCTTATTTATTCCAAATTGCACGAGAAACATCATGTGACTACGTATTAATAATATACATGAAAGATACGAGATAGCTTATCATAATTAAGCAGAAGCAAAGCACGTGCATCAAGTGCAAAAATAATTTATTCAAACCGTGCGTTCGGTCAAAACAATTGCCTACGATCAAAACAATACTATAAATGATATTTTCACATCTTTAAGGCGCAAAAAAGTTCAAAGTCCGGCTAAACAGTTCAAGGAATTGTTCAGTATGTGTCTGAATCACTATCGATGAAATGGTTTAACCGTGTTTGCTTTTAATTTCGGCGTAGAATCGCTCGAGCAAAGTGTTAAGCTGGGTCGGCTCGTAATTTTCGATTTCCTTGGCAATTCCCTTCTCTATCAAAACCCTAAGCTTTGTACAGTGTTTTCGTTGTTAGAGCTGTTTTTCAGCTGCTGTATTATTGTTGAACACCTACTAAAGACGCCGGCCATTGTTTCGCTCGCAAATTTTCAGCGTTTGCGACATCCAAAACTCGCATTTGATTGGCTATCTGTGAGTTTCTTTGATTATTGACCAATCGGAATGTCTGGTTTGTTACTTCTTTGCACTGAATTAACTCTCTTCTGCACTGAATTACATGAAAACTGTATTTATCTAAACCAATCAGAACTGAGTAATTTATTCATTTTAATATTAACGGCAAATTGCAAAAAATTTTAATTTCAACAAGCGTCCATATTTTAAGTCTGTTCTAGGCGTCCAGTTAGTTTAAGTAAGTGCGACAGTAAACAACGCGAGAGCAGCGGAGGAATAAAAAAAATAAAAAAAACCAGGAAGTTTTTCACATCGTCGCTACTGTCGCGCCGTTTAATATTTCGCTTCGTTTAACTGAACGTCCGGAACAAGCTACCATATTACTTTGACAGATAAATGTCTGTTGTTGTTGTTTTAACTAAAAGCTCAAGCGGTTATACAAGATAAAGCCGGCCAAGAAAATTTAGACATTCTCATGAGCTGGCAAATTCATTCGCCTTTGTGGTTTCTTTATCTCATTTGTTGAACCCATTTAGTTTTTCAGTCATGCCATCTGCTTCCCTCCCAGGGATCTGTTTTAGCGTGGTATTTTAATATGTGACTGTAGCAGCCACGGTAGTGTTGCAGACTATGAATGAGTTTCAATAGCACATTTTGTTTTGGTGTCGCATCATTGTCGACGTTTCAGATTTTCAGTAGCACGGGAAGAGGTTGTGACGAATGAGGGAAATAGAAAATTTAGTTAAAAGAAGTATTCAAAACGTTTCTATACCATCGTCCGATTTCTTTCTGGCGAATTGTGGTTTTCTTTCCCTTATCAATTCATGTTATGCTTTCAACTCTTTTCAACCAATTTAATACTGGAGAAAAACTCAGTTGTGCTGTTATTATTACTTGTCTTCAGCGAGATGTACAATCTGCGCAAGTGTCTGAACATTTGTTGATAGCGACACAGCCGCGAACTGGGAAGAATACAAGACGGTTCACGAAACGTGAAAAACTCCTAGTTGGCGTAATAGTCTTCCTTGTTTCCTTATTTGTTCTTATGGCAATGGTCTTTGGATTTCTGTACGCAAAGAAGGCTCGCTCAAACTCGCAGATTAAAGAGAAAAACACTGCATCCTACCCATGCGTAACAAGAGATTGCGTTTTCACATCTTCAGGTAACTTTGCAAAGTTTTCTTCATAACCGAAAAAGAATCCATTCAACTACTCGTGCATCGCACTAAAAAATAAGTACAGACTGCCTTCATTTGTGATTGTTGCCCAGTGGAAAGTTGTAAAATAAACGCGACCGCCCCTTATCTCCTATAACCTTCATGATATCTGAATCATGATTATTCTACAAGAAGACCAAAGATCTTACTTTCCCCGTTATATTGTCTTGCAGACTTGTTTAGTTTCTTAGATCCCAATGTCAATCCTTGTGAGGACTTTTATAAATACGCATGTGGTGGATGGATAAAGAAAAATCCGCTTCCTAATCAGAAGGAAGAATGGAATCAATTTACCAAACTGGAGGAGGAAAGTAATCAGTTTTTCAGAGAGATTCTACATAGTAAAGAGAAGCAAGCTGAATATTCTAAGGTAAGTTCGTAACAGACACTTGCTGTTCCCAAAATTTCAGTCTTGATATTTATGTATGGAGATGACTAGTCCTTACTAGCGTGCCAATTTTTGTATTTAATTTCCTTCAAGCTTTCGTCCTTCAAGAAAGGGATAGCTTACTATAAGTCGTGTTTGGATACAAAGGCAATTAACAAAAGAGGAACCAAGCCTTTGGAGGATTTGTTAAAGGAATATGGATCTTGGACTTTGACTACAGACGACTGGAAGGAAGAATCTTGGGACATGATAAAATATCTTGCGTTAATGAGAAGAAAACTGTCTTTAGGACCCCTGTTTACCGTGTTTGTAGGTGCTGATCCACGGAACAGTAGCGTCAATATCATCCAAGTAAGCTCAGTTCAAACGAAAGTTAAATCTAGTAGCATTTTGAGTTTTGACTTGGTCATGATCTAAATTAAGTTTCTCCCTTAACGTACCTATGAGAAAGGGACTGTTACCGGCCACAAGTGTCGGTAATTACGCGTGTTAAGGTCTTTGATTTTGAAGATTCCATTGGAAAAGGGAGTGTATACGTCATTCAGTCAACTCCGTCAAATACCGACTGGGGCCGGAGAGAGCCCGAGGTAAAAGTGGGCGTAGCAATCATATACTTACGTGTAAACGAGTGTACCTCCAGAAATTAGAAACATGTAATTTTAACTCTTGAGTTCAGCTTATGTTTACTGGTTATGTACGTGTAATATTGGGAAATAAGTGGCTTCCAGAATTCGATCAGCATGTATGGCGAAGTAACCATCATTGCGCTGCCTACGATATGTAATTAGAATAAGACATCAAAAACGCTACACGGCGTAATGCTTAAGTTTAAAACCCATTTCTACTGTAGTTTTACGATACGCCCTGGGTTCTAGATGGAGTCAGTCCCGTGTTCATCTTGATAGTGACGTGTGTTTGTGCTCCTTGAGGTTTCCCTTAATAGAGGTTCCACGGAAGTGTTACTGTACAGTGAACGGGATGCAAGTTCATAGTGTTTGTTTCATCAAGGATAGCTTGTTGTACTGTCTCAAGTTGCCCTCTCGTTAAATTGAATCTGCAAACCCTCCACTCCTTACTATCCAATATCTTACTACTTGTTATTACTTTTCTCACTTCTTTTTCTTTTTTCGATTCTTTCCCAAAACGATTATTTTTATTCTCACATCACTTTTGTTTCTAGATAAGACCGTTAGCCCTTTTGGGTCTTTCACGAGGCCGTTTAACTTCTAATACCACCTATGGAATTAAGGTATGTTTATTTCGATTGAAAGTGATTAAAAGAAAAAAATTGAAACCCATGTCGCAAAAGTATCCTTCTTTTCTTTCACTGTTTATCTCGTATTTCTAAGGGAAATAGCAGAGAAATACCGCCCAGCTAGAGTACAGATAGTGATATAAATTTCAGACGAAATTCTTGGCAATTTTGAACTCGCCTATAATTTTCCCAACATGTTAAATTATCACGGAATTTATCGACTTTTTTTGATCAGAAAATTGTGTTTCTTGACCAGTCAGGTCATCTACATGTAGTTGTACAAAACTACCTAAATATAGGTACATGTTTTGACCCATTTCTAGTAAAAGAGTTGCGAATAGTTTTCCAAAGTGTAACCGTCCATCGACACCAAGAAGAGGTTTTATTTCCCAAATTTGTTTTCATGTCAAGCTAGCAAATAGAACGGCAACAAAGCATGCTCGAAAGCTGCTTTCACTGTCTGATTTTAAATATCAATGATATTTGAACAGTAGAAATTGTCACATTGTTTCGCTAACGAATTTTGCGTTCTTTCTAAGGGACGAAAGGTTTATAGGGAACTTATTTTGAATCTAACTAAAGCACTTGGAGCAAAAAATGATTCACTCCCAGACATCCTGAATATCATCGATTTTGAGATCAAACTTGCTAAGGTTTGTTTCGTTGCATCATTGAGTAATATTAATTGTATTTATATGTTTCTTTCGCCATCGTTTCTGTCGTCTTAGAAATCTTTGTATTAATTATCATCATTGTGCACAGATCATGCCAAGTGCCCCCAAAGCGTATGATGACGAAAATATGTACAAGAAACTGACTGTTAAAGAGCTTGACCAATATGCTGGTAGCAACAGGGTATGTAGTCTGTATATACTGAATAGGAAGCTTTACATTACCAACGTAAAGCTTCCCAAAGTTTAAGTCACGTTCCTTTGATTGGCAGATTTACTGTCATCACAATTCATTGTTGCGGGGGTGAGGGGAATCACCTATGAAGACTTACATAGGTATGTTACATCCCAGAGGATGTAACATATCTACCCCCGCAAGAATTCCGAGGGGCACCCCGCTCGGGAATGCGGCTTTAATTGACTCTTAATCGGAACTTCGACAATCCACCCCACAGGATTTCAAGCCGAAAATGTCCAGAAAGATATAAATCCTGGAAGGTTTTTATTGCCCATTAAGAAGTAAATAAATTATCCATATATTTTGTTGTTGTTTTTATAGATGAAATGGAAAGTATTCCTCGAGCAGCTTTTGTTGCCTGTCACTGGCAAACATGTCTCTGATGAAGAACTTGTTATAGTTTATGGAGTAGACTTCTTAAAAAACATAACCAACCTTCTCGATGACACACCAAACAGGTGAACGCATAACATGATGTAATGGTCGGCAAGGCAGGCAAGGAAAGGCTTTAATCGATCAGTGTTTACCCTGTACAATTATTGGGTCTGCTACCTGTATAACTTGAATCACGATGATCACTTGATTGATTTTATTTCACCACTTGAGAGTTTATTTTTAAATTCTAAACAAAATTGTGTTTTGCCCGTCACTTTACTTAGCGTCTAACCCATACAGTTCTGTCATCAATCAAATGCCTTTAATGGTTTGTGGAAAATACTACAAGCACGTGTTGTGGTTTGCCCTAAAAGCAGTTGTAAGTACTGATTTAATGAACACCTACTGAACTCAGAAAATCTTTCAAAGCTCTTACCTCCGCGTGAAAAAGTTAAAAATAGTTGATTAAGATGACGATCTGCTATAATCTGCCATGTCGGGTATAACCAGGCGCGATTTGGTAAAGATTTGATGTGTTGACTTGCTCTTCTCTTTACTTCCTTTAAAGAACCATTGCTAACTACATGATGTGGCGATTGGTAGACTCCGTATACTTACGCCTGGGAGACGAATTTGAAAAGATTTTGGAGAACTTTTTCATAACTTTAGAGGGCTACTGGATACCTATCTCGCGAGATGAGTTGTGTGTTCAACTGATGAGAGAAAAATACTTTGCTGCACCTCTCTCCAGAATATATGTGGACAGTCTCTTCAATGGGAACAGCAAGAAAATTGTAAAGAAAAATACTGCAATTTTTGGGGGAGCAGTCAATCTTTTCTTAGTGGGGGAGTTCTTGAAAAGGAGTGTGTATGCTGCAAGTGACTGCAAGCGCAGTAAAATTTTACATGATTTTAATTTGCTCGTAGACCAACTAATTTTGGACTATCTTCCGCCTCGAAACAGTGCTACACGATAAGTCGTATGGTCAGGACTAGTCTAGACTATGGTTGTGCCTTCCTGGACACGAGGTGAACTCCATTTAGCTTTGTAACTTGATGTATCCTATAAAACTATTTCAGGCAAAAGAGCTGGCGGATGATATCAAGGAAGCGTTCGAACAGAACATATTGGAACTTGATTGGATGGACGAAAAAACAAAATCTCTCGCTATACAGAAGGTAACCACAGATAATTATTTCAGCTTCATGTGAAATACAATTTGCGAGGGTCCTTTTAAACAATATCGCTTATTTCTCAAAACATGGCCGACGTATGGAGAAGGAACAATTAAATTGTCAAGACATATGACCCGTTAAGATATCTGGGCAACTTTGAAAAAGTCGATTACAAACATTGCGAAGGGAGAGAGAGACAATATAAGGGTGAGCATCTCCCCAGGCATCACAATTCAACAAAATGACAACAGCCAACACTTCTTAGTCCGACCGTTTGCAGTCAGTTTACCCTAAGATAATCGCACCTTCCGCGAGAAAAGACGATAAGTTAGCGATTGAAGAATAAGTCCAGTAACTTCGAAAAGAACAACTTCCATTTTAAAATTGTTATAACTTATGACCCTGCACTATTTCGATTCTCATTTATCATATGTCTGTTTTGACTTGGCAGGCGAAAATGATGGTGGAGAACATTGGCTTTCCAGATTACATTGTGGATGACAAGCTTTTAGATGAGGAGTACAAGGATGTAATTAAAATAAATTATTAGATTATTATAGCTCAGAGAGTCATTATTTACTGGGAAGTACCTATTTCAAGTTATTATTCAATTAGCATTCTCTTATAACAGTAGTTATGTATTGAAGAAACTGCTCACCAACTTCCTAAAAGTAAGGACAGATTAGTAGCGTTGTACAACGGATAACATGAGTGTTTTTTATATGAGCCTTTAGCATGGGAGACAAAATGACCAATCCTTACGTTTTCGACGTTAAATTTAAAGTTATCTTTTCTCATCTCATCTCATCTCATTTCATCTCACCTTGTCTCATCTCATCTCATCTCATTTCATCTCATCTCATCTCATCTCACTTCATCTCACCTTATCTCATCTCATCTCATCTCATCTCCTCTCGCCTCATCTCATCTCATCTCATCTCATTACATCACATCTCATCTCATTACATCACATCACATCACATCACATCACATCACATCAGATCTCATTTCATCTCATCTCATCTCATCTCATCTCATCTCATCTCATTTCATTTCATCTCATTTCATCTCATCTCACTCCATCTCACCTCATCTCATCTCATTTCATCTCATCTCATCTTATCTCATCTTATTTCATCTCATCTCATCTCATTTCATCTTACCTCATCTTATTTCATCTCATCTCATCTCATCTTATCTCATCTTATTTCATCTCATCTCATTTCATCTTACCTCATCTCATCTCACCTCATCTCATCTCCTCTAGTCTTATCTCATCTCATCTCACTTCATCTCATCTCATCTCATCTCATAGCATTTCATCTCACCTTATCTCATCTCATCTCATTTCATCTCATTTCATTTCATTTCATTTCATCTCATTTCATCTCATTTCATCTCATTTCATCTCATCTCACTCCATCTCACCTCGTCTCGTCTCATGTAATCTAATCTCATATCTTCTCATCTTGTCTCATTTCATCTAGTCTCGTCTCATCTCGCTTCGTCACGTCCTATCTAGTCTCGTCTCGTCTTATCTAGTCTCATCTCGTTTCATCTTGTATCGTCTTGTTCATCTCCTCTCCTCTCCTCTCGTTCCGTCTTATCTTATCCTACCTTATTCAATATTTATAACCCATGGCCAACCAAGGTGAGAAGGGACTTACCGAAAATTTTAAATGACGAACGACAATTAATCCAAGAGTTGATCATTTATTTGTCTTTGTGACTACAATAAGGTCAACTGCAATCAAACAACCTACTTTGAGAATGAGTTATCATTGGACCAGGCCATAACAGAAAGAGATCTTGCTTACTTTGGAAAACCTGTCGACGAGTCTGGGTAATTGTAGACTTACGTGCTCATGGCTAACTTGTAGTGAATTTCAAATTTCTGTTGCCTTTATATAAGAGGAGCCCTTGACTGTCGTTGTACTAGAGTTACTACAGATATAATTTTTTAAGGTATTTTAGCAGAGAATATAGTTAGCGTAGGCAGAGGGGAGGGAGTGCAGTTATACCGTTCGGTACAAAAGAACGTTTTGAAAAAAGTCTTATCACAATTAAAGAATCTAGTTCATTAGTTTAAAAAAACTACTTCAAAAAATAATAAATAGGCTTATAAATGAAAGAGGGTTTGTGTAAAGAGAATTGATAGTGAGAATAACAAATTGCTTTTTATTAACATCATTTTGATAACTCAGAATCATTTGCTGCAATGTACGAAAACTTTTTTCTTGCGTGTACGTTTGCTTTCAAAGTAACTGCTAATTGTGTTTATCAAATAGGTGGGCTCTATCACCAATATCCATCAACGCCTACTACGATATGTTGGCCAACAAAATGGGTGAGTTAGAGAAATTTGTTCTATTTGAACATTTAAGCTCACTCATGTCAAAGGACCCTTATGGCTCAGAGATACTGTATTTGTTCCGAAATGGCTTCTGTTTACATTCTGTCGTTTATCAAACGATAATTAACTGCGGATTGAAGCGTATCCGTAGGAGGCGTCACAAAACATTTATTGCCCATCATAACAGGAGGAAAATTACCGGTACCAAAGATTTATGCCACGAAACCAGACTATCGAATGACTTATTTCGCTTGTAAAGTATGCTACTTAGCTGGGAATACCTTTGCGATAATAATTTATTTCGATTGGTTTTAGTGTTTCCGGCGGCTATTCTACAATCCCCATTTTACAATAGGAAGTATCCCAGGTAAGTGAGTGAGAAGGACTTAGAGTCATTTTTCAAATGGATGTTAGACTTGTCCCTGGGAGTTTCTAGTAGTCAGTGTTCAATTGTGCGCATGTGTAAAAGAGTGATACAGCATTAAAACTGATTTTCAGTGGTCAATCGATCATCATGAGAGGTTAGTAGATACTTTCTCTAAAAGATATACAATCTTTTACAATTGAGTTTTGAGTTTCCCTTGTTATCAAGGTTGATGCTATTCCTTTCACCTCAGTCGTCTGATCACTGATATCATAGGAAAATTCATTACCTCATGGGGAATTCCGCGTTAAATTGCACGCGAAAACCGATATCGCATTCACCGCTTCGTGATTCGAGCGATTATCGGTTTTCAAGTGCAATTAACGCGAAATTCACGAGTCAGGTGATGAATTTTTCTTGAAACCCATGATTGAATAAATATAAGAAAAAAAGAAAACAGTTATAATACTGTTTGTTTTTATCCTGGGCGCGCGCGAGAGAGCCATTTCAAAGTCAACTGTCAGAACTGTCATTGCGTTAGCGAATAGGAAGCAGGGTCAGTCGTACAAGTTTGAATCCACGACAACTTTATTTGTACCTTGAGCTTGTTTTTACATTTGCTTTCAAACGTTTTAAACAAGATTCACACAATCTTCGGGATAATGGTGGTATTTAACTGAATTTACAAGCCGTTTATCCTTAACATCTTTTTTCAAATTTCTAAATCATTTGCTCGAGAAGGAAAACAATTTACACCTTTTACCTCTTTGGTGGCAAAACTGAAAGAAATGAAGTGTCCAAACGAAAGCACTGAAAGTTTAGCATCGCGACTAAAGATATTTTTCCTTCTTCTGTATACATGACAATCGACTCTGGCACTTCTTCCGTTGTCGCTTCTTCGTCTTGTTTGGTTGAACTTTTGCTTGCCATTTTCTGGGCCGTGTCCACTGGATTTTCTCGCTTTTTCGTTGTCGCGAGCTAAAGAGATTTTTATGCCTCTCAAATAATTTGTAGTTCATTTCAAAACAGGGAACCTCTGGCTCACTTTGAAAAACGCTTTTGTTCGTTTTTGGCTCTTCAAAAGGTGACAATGGTTTTGAAAACACTTTAAAATGACATTGCAGAAAACTTTCTTACGATTTGACGATAGTTGTTATGTTTACGTAGGTGCGAAGCAATATCACTTGGCCTCGTTTTCAACCCGCAACTCCACGCTTAATACTTCGCTTCGTTGACCAATCAGAATGCGACATTTTATTCAATTATGCGATTCTAACTCAAACCGATTTGTCCTGCCACTAAATTCAAATAAGGTCAACTTCACTGATTCCCGAGGAAAACAACTTGAAATTAGAACTTGAACTTTCGGAACGCGGTAAATTTTTGTCTAGCCTGAGGCAAGAAAACATCTTTTTGAAGTCATAGAAGTTACACGCTTTCAAACGAGATCTGAAGAAGAAATTGCTACATATAGCAAACTCTTATTAGCTGGTCCCAGGGGAGACAGTAATTTCTTCTTCTCTGCTACTCTCAGTGTTCCCTGAGGGAAAAGCGAGGGGAATATTAAGGATCTTGGGGCAACAAAATCTATTGTTTCCCCTGAGGCCAGTCATTCAGTTCTTCATCGTAAAATTTAACTCTCGACTCTTTCTTATCACGTGATTAATTTACCTTACCTTAGTCGTGAATCCATTGTGTTAACAAGTTCTCAAAGATACTTAAATTAACGTTGATTATTCAGCCAGATCATAGTTAAGGGATATATCAAAACTTGATAAGAAACTTTTACCAGGTCGTATTACTCTCATGTGAATTAGAAAGCATTTTAATTTATACTTCGCTATGAATGTTCTAAGGCTCAATTCATAAACGTGTTGAAGAAGTAAGGTCATTTTGACACAGAAAAATTCTCTCGGAATAATTGGTTACCATACATCTATAAGTATAATTTTTATAAGCGTAGCACCGCTTTCCGTCTCGACAGGGCTGTGTTGTACGGAGGGGTTGGTGCCATAATGGGACACGAACTAACTCACGGATTCGACGTGGACGGTAAGTTCGTGCCGCTCTTCACGCCGTAGAAAACTAGCTGTCTTTCCAAGCAAACGAAATATGTCCTTCCTAACTGTGCGCATACTTGTAACTTGCGATAATTTTGAGTTTTGTTCTATGATCACAGGGAGGCGGTTTGATATGAAAGGAGATGAACGGAACTGGTGGAGTGAAGAAACTCTTAAAGCGTTCAAAAGAAAAACCGAATGTCTGAAGGATCAATACTCTAATTTTACATTCGATGGAGGCACGGTAGGTTTTTTCCTTTTTGTATTTCGTGCCGCGGTTTACCGTGCTCAGGAATCACTCCTAAAACTGAAATATCATTTTACACCTCAGATTGATGGCGAGAAAACTTTGTCAGAAAACATAGCCGATAATGGAGGAGTCAAACAGGCCTTCAGGGTAACTTCTGAACCTTCAATTCCAATCCGCAACAGAGAAATTACTTTCAATAGACTTTCTTTCCAACAAACTATTTTTCCCCTATTTTGTAAAAAAATATATTTGACTAAAATCATAATAAACCTTATAAAGAGCGTCGACGACTATTGGGTCTGACTAGGAGCTAACGCTAACTGTGGCCAATTTACTAAATTGCCCTAATGAATTAAACTACGGTTTTCTTCATTTCTTTAGGCTTATCAGAACTGGATTGCGCGGAACGGCAACGAACCTCAGCTGCCTGGAATGAACCTCACAAATGATCAGGTGTTCTTTATAAGCTTTGCAAGAGTAAGTAACTGATTTTTAAGACTTGTCAACATTTTGTCAATTAGGAAGATAGCTTTATATGATCAGCCGAATTATCGGTATATGCGCATTATGATCGGTCATTGCTGATGATCTATTGAAGAAGAGACGCCTAGATGACGTAGCCATTGACAACCTAGATCCATGTTGCCGTGTGTCTTTTCAGTAGTAGATCACAGATGATTTCAAAATCTGGTAAGAACAAAAAAGTGGCACACGAGGCTCAATCAAGTGTGTCACTGATGTGACACACTTCAATGGGGTACACGGCTATCTTCGGTCTTTATTTATTGGTTGTATGCTCTCTACTAAGAAAAAAAAGTGCTGTCTCGGAAACATCTACACCTACCTGTGGTATGGCAAGACGAGTGTGAAGGCCATTGACTGGATTGTATTGAGTTGATCCACACGTCTGACAGCTGGCTTAACCTATGTTTTTTCAGACAACCAACTCAATAATTATATTTCTGTGTGGAATATAAAACAAAAATCCTTGATTTTTCATTGTTTGCTAGAGTTGGTGTTCAGTTTTTTCAAGTAGAGGGGAGGAATTTGCTTTATCAAGTGAACACAGCCCAGCCCCTTGGAGGTAACGTTCCTTTCTACTAATATCCACTTCAAGCTTTTTCCTGTAGAATAGATGTGTACTTTTCTATCAAAGATATCTCGTATCTCTTCTAAAGCGCTCGTATCGGCGAAGCGTACCTCATTTATCGTTCTTGCATGAAATGTAAAAATTTTTCCTTTTTTGGAAACAAATTGGTTTTATGGTTAAGCTGCTAGATTGTGATCGTTATATCTAAGATATCGTGTTGCATATCAAGTCATACTAACCCCATTCGGACACAGGAAGCTATCGAGACTCAGCTGGCCATAACATCTTGCAGTTTTGCATAACAATTGTTTGCATAACGATTGTTAGCTAAACTTGTGGCACATCTTTGAACTCGCTGTATTTTCACTTCAAGTCATTTCGGTAGTGGATATACTACAATGTCATCGTAATCAAGTTTCAATAGTACTAATGCCTTAAAAATTTCATAACATTTTTATGTGACATAAGCCGGGCTGAGGAAGTTGACAAGCGCAAGAACGAAAATATTGTTACAACTTGTATCAATATAGTTCGAGGTTCCAACGTTAGATGAATTTGAATTTATCTTCTCTGAGCGCTCATTCTCTCTCTTATAAATCTTAAGACAATTATACTCTTTTTGATTGTTCCTCACTGTTTATCGTAGGGCAAAGGCATCAGTGATGAACTTCTCGGAGTTTGCAAAAGCATTCAATTGCCTACCAGGGAGCCCAATGAACCCAGTCAACAAGTGCTCGGTCTGGTAACGATAACAAGCCTAGTATCTAAATCCGCTGTAAAATTCATGTAATGAAGGGAATGTGATTCAAAGTGTCAAAGAGATGCAGCTTAATTGGTTCAAACATTTTTTTTTTTTTTTTTCATAACGATCAATCTTTGAGTAGCTCGAGACGAAGTTTGGCTAATAAGCTACCATAACGGCAAAGCCTAAGAAATTATGAACGAAACTAGCACTGTTAAATTAATTGTGTTCGCTGTCTGTGACTGATAGCAGCGTGGGCCTAGCGTATGTGGGGAGCTGCCACCAAGAGGTCATTATTTTTATTGTGGCATTCCAAGAAAGCAGCTGCATGTTACTACCTGTGAGAGTTTTTAGATTTTTATTCGACATAGGCACTGCCCAATGGTACAAGGCATTTGCTTTTTTTCTATCTAGTGCCCTCATTTAGCGGTGGTCACACACTTGAATGAATGCTGCTCATAAAGGGGCTAGCTACCTACTAACTACACTAAATATATTTACACCTTGCTTTTTCAGCGCAGAGAGGTGCTAGGAAAAACTTTTAGGTTTTCAAACACAAGGACCTTGTTGTCCTTGCAGAAATGAGAATGTGCATCTGCGTCGAGAACTCTTTAGTCTATTTGGTATTTCTTTGCACAGCAGAAGCAAGATATCAAAATAATGATCTTACTTGTTTTTTATTAATTCTTTGTCTCGCTGCTGCTTTAATGTTATAGGTCCTTTTATCACCATTGCAACGATGAAATCCTTAAGAGAATTAATTCTAAGAACAAAGGGAACAAAGCATTTGGAAAATAAATAGTAATAAAGTTGGCATATTGTGTTTGTTCACAGCGATTCAGCCTCTCTTAATGATATTACGTTTGTGGTCTTTCATCTGTCTGTTTTCCAACTGATGCTATCAATTATTCTGTTTGACGTGGTGTTGATTACAGAAATTTCGTTGGCCTCAAGAACATTTGGAGGTGAAGCAGTGATATCAAAGCATAGCTTAGCACCATCCACAAGCCATTACTGTATTCCCTATCAGTACTTAGAAAAGAAATCAAATTTATCTTTAAAGAATTCTTCAATAAACAATGAAATAAATTATTCAAAGCATTTCTATTTGAGGTGTTTTTTTTTTTTTAAAGAAAAACGTCATTATATTGCTAATTAAGGTACTCGAAAGACAAAATCAAATATTTATTCTTTCCTCTGGTGAATAGACGATATTTTCACCAAGATCGTTTTTGATATAAGGCGCACCTGAGGAAAATATGAGGAGTAGGGGAAACTTTCAGGTGAACTTCATCTTAATCTTGTCATTTTCACCATAATTATCATGGGTGTACATTTTTTTTCAGCGTTCATTAAAATTTCTCAAAACAAAACTAAATCAGCGGATAAAAAAAAAAGGTTACACTGGTTTCGTGAGAGTTTACCACAATGTGATTTGAACGTTCCGATCTACTCAATCCGTTAAGAAGTAAAGGAAATACTAAAAAATATCGAGAATTTTCCACCGGGCAACCTTAACCTTTACCTTTACCTTAAGTTGCTATCGAAATCCTTAAATATTAGATTCCATTCATAAGATTTGTTTTAAGAGGGAAGTGAAACACTCTATTCCAGGTGACATGGCTTGTTTTATTCACTGTTGTTTACTTGTCCTGTGACTCCAAGGAGCAAGAAACGTTGACAGCGTTTCCTTCTCCTTCAATTTACCTTACCATCACTTCAAATGGATCTGTTTTCCTTGGAAACATAACAATTCCAGCAGGTGAGCACACGTTATATTCACGCCTCAATAGTGTTTTACAAAGATTGGTCTTTGATTCAGCGATTTGAAACATTTGAATTCCTGTACACGTTGTAAGAAGACATGATTCATCAGCTCAGTTCAGTAATAGTAGTTTGCTTCTAGATAATATATATATATATAAAAGAAACGACAATGGTCTTACTTGAAGCAAAAAAGGGGGTTCAGGACACTGATACTAAGAAAGATCATAAGCAATGAGCTGAAGATGAAGGAATTCCAATTGTTTTCTTGTAGAGAACGTGACAATGAATGCAAGTGTTAGTATTAATCCAAACCGATCCAGTGCGGCAGTAATGAACACGAGCGCTTCCATAATCAGTAAGATAACGGGAACCACAAAGACCGAAAACAGTAAGTGTATGTTTTGCCAGTCCGAGATAAATACAACAATGACGGGCGAAATAACAATTCCAAGCTAAAGGGAAACGCTGAGATTCGAGGGGAACAAAATTTGCTGTTTCCAGGGAAATTGTGCAGTCGTTAAGTGATATCAGAATCTCGCTCGAAAATACTACTTACATTGATTTTGAAGGAGAAGCATGGATCAAAAATCACTTGAAAAATTATTCTTAGTTTTACTTGAATGGTTCCGCTTTCAGTGATTGTTCAATACAGGTGGAGGACAATAAGAACAGGCCGTTGGGACTTAGTAAAGGGTGACTGCAACCGCTTAATAAAGGTGACAGCTTATAACAGTGGTTAAGAGGAAACAAATTCAGAATTTTGGCGACTGACAGCTTAATACGGGGTAGCCGCCTAACACAGTGCTTAATACAGCTCTTGACTGTAGTGAACTCCGTATTGTGGTGTTAAAATGTTTCATTTGATGACATGTGAAAGAGTCGCTTTGACACTCAAGCGATTTCCGTTTATAAATTGACAAGCAACTTAACAATTCTAATAAGTGCATCTCATGGCGATTCATAGATGTCTTGTTTCGTGTTTATTAGAATGGCTGTATTTTATTGGATGAAATCTGTTATAAAAACTACGATGTGCTTTGAAATAAACTTTATGATTGTCATAGAAGTAACGACGAGGGCAAATTTACAGCGTTTTCTCAAACAAGGAAGATTCATTAGTGACTCTTTAGCTCATGGTTTCGTTTCCTTTTAATTTTTGAAGATACCTTCTTTGTGGAGTTCAAAACAGGAGCGTTGGAATGGAGTCCCGATCTTACCAAGGAATATCACAATAACTTCATCAACAGTGCCAATGAAATTGTTCAAATAGTTAGTAAAGATTTAACTAGTAACAAAAACAAGTATATTTTGCACTGAAAAAAAGATTTATCTTCTCCTGTCTGCGCTCTTATGGTGTGTCCCAGTTCAATGAAAAGTGAAATATTACTAATTTGTGTAACGTTAGTGTAGTACCTTGCATTGTCAATATTTGTCAAGAAAAACTGACAACGGTCTGCGGTCACTATGTGTCCTCTAGCATTGTTCATATCCTAGCCTCAATGCTCTGAAAAGCTGGGTTTAAATCTAGATTTGCAGAGACAAGCTACGTAATAATAGCACCCCGATCTTTGTATTTCATAATTTATATGCAAAGCCTCTAATGCCTTTTCACGAACTCACGTATAATTTTTATTTTTAACAACAGCTAAAACATAAGATTTCGCAAACTACATTAGGTCCATGTAGATATTTATAGCTTATGCAACTAACACCTTTTCTGTCACAGATTGACAGCATATATAAGAATGCAAACATGTCGTCTAGTTTCGATGGCAGCCGCGTTATTGGCTTCAGGTCTGTAGCTCACTGTTCTCATGTAGTATTATTGTGTAGTGTTATATGTACTCTATTCATGCACCTCCTAAAGCTTCTGTCACATTGTAAAAATAAAAAAAAAAAACATTTCTTTCTCTCCAGGGAAGGCGGGTATGTATCGGTAAAGCTACAGTTCAATGAAGGTGACATTAACAACCTGGATGTCATTATTCAATTCTTACGAGAAGGAGGAGGGGACTTGTTGACGGACAAAGTTTATCTTAAGCTTGGAAAAATTGGTAGGTGAATTGACTTAATATCCAGGGCTAAAATGGTAGCACAAAATCGAGAATGAAAAATGCAGTTGTTTAACCTCTACTTATATCTACCAATGACAGCTTATTCACCAGTTAAAATAGTTTCAAGTTTATTGCTTGGACTACCTGAGACCAAGCAGTCTACAACAATGACTTACTTTTACCAGAAAACAAGGGGAAAACTAGTTGGTATTTATTAGTACATACATACATAAGTATATACATAAATAAACTTTATCTAGTCTTAAACCAAAATACTAGTATCTCTGAGCTAACTGCATTAATAATTATAATAACGAGTTAATTCCATACAACAATTAACTTGCCAAATTGACTTAGCGTACTTGTACTGAAATATAAGATTTAAATCCACTCATTATTCGATTCAACAAAACAGTAGCATGCAATAATTGTAAAATTCTAGTCAAATTAATAACTTTTCGTCGTAATCTGAATCGATAATATAAAAATAGTTTTATAGACTTATAAAGTGGTAAATCTTCCAGCTTCCTTTTTTGAGTTATGATTTTAGAAGTTTTAGACTGTGTTTAAGTCCAGCAATCAACTCTCTATTTAAGAAGCTTTGAAGAAACTATTTGTATTTATCTCAGTTGGTAAATTTTATATAACGTACTTTGTTCGATCTATAGCCGACTGTATCACATCCTATGTGGACACCTCATTATGTGACTGCTTGTCCATGAGTTACAAGCGTCGATTGACATGTCGTCAGCCAGAGATACATGGCGGTGAGGACTGCCCTGAGCGATGCTATACTGGCCACCTGATCGCCGGCTACAAGTCTTGTACTTGGGACGATTTAGACGCGTTTAAATGTGCTGCCAGTAAAACAAAGGCCACTTATATTATTATGTCGTTCGTATTACCGCTTTATTCGGTAACTTTTGTCAACTGATATAATGAACTTGGAAATAAGTGTTAAGACAGATGGATGATGTTGACGCCGTAGTAAAGAAAAACAGACTTAAGAGGAAAGCCTCTAAACATTCTTTTACAACACGATGGGCCAAACGGGCGTATCTCGAATGTTGATTTAAATTTGATCTCAAATAGTATTTCGTGGCGAGGATTTTGCCAAAACGATATAGAATGAAAACTATAATCATGACTGTTAAATTTCACGGAGGCAATTTGCCACATACGGCATTTACTTCACCAAGTTTCGTTTTGTCAGTGAACACCGGTTTTAGTTTTCTCGATAATGGCGAATGCTCTCCAGAATTGGTAATTCAAACAATATTGGTTTGCTTTGAAGTTCCTGTTTGGTACTATTGACGTCCTTGAAATACAAAGGACGTTCATATCCCGAGCTCTCATCGAATATAAAGCCGGTTATGAGTGAGTGAAATATCGGCTGTAAATAAAACCAATAACAGAAATCTGTTGTGCGTCTGTCTGGGGTCGACGAAGACCATCTAGTCGCTCCACAATTACACTGGTTCTATTGGTACGCAGCTATCCTACGCAGCTACCCTCTTAAGGAGAGTCAGATGCTATTAGCTGTTGTCGCAAGCTGTGGACTCCCACATGTGAAAATTGAAGGCAAAGGTTCTCAGAGATGCCTTTAAAGTGTCCTTTTAGTGTTTCTTTTGACCTCCCTGGGAGCGCTTGCCCTGCAGTAGCTCGCCATAGAACTTAAATGATGTACTAGAGACTGCTACGACCAGGTCCTAGGTCCAGGACCAGGTCCAGAACTTAAAACAGCCTCTGACGCTCAAATCCTAATACAGCAGGTCAAAGATTGGGCCTCAGTGAAACATGAACAGATGAAGAATCTTCAAGTTGAAGTAAATCGGTAAAAAAGATCCAGAACCCTGTGCAGTGGATTTGCAAAGCATGAACACGCAAAGGATGTTTAGGGATCTGATTGGTTGAACAAAACTAAAGCTGTCAAAAATGTCAAACCATCTAAGTTCACAATATGCAATAGTTGACAAACTGAAATGGTTCAGCTGCTCATAAAAACACGCGAGTTTTTTAACATGACAACTAACAACACACTGCTCCAGGCTTGTGTTTTATGAATAAACGACAGCCGAATTCTCAGGAACATAACGATTGCTCGGGATGACAGCACCGTAAATCTCGGCTACTCTGACTGATGCGGCCTTCCACTCAACGCATCGGAAAGGATATAAGAGCGAGTTCTTTGTTGTTCACGTGAAGGATAGCCGATGTAATTTCTGAAGCTTGCTTCACGGCGACGACCAGAGATCGCCATGATGAGCTAGACGCGACAGACTTCAGCTTGATCGCAGTTGCTCTGACACCATCATGATTAGCATAAATTACATTTATGCCAGTTTCGTTGTATTTTTTTTTTGTCATTCTAGTTTTTTGTTTGTTTTGTTTTTGAACACGGAATTATATATAAGAGTGCTAGCTACGAGTGTTAGTTGTGTAGGTGAGCATGCAATCTAACTGAGCGTGAAAACCTTTAAACTCGGACTGTTTTCTCTTTGAGGATTGTCCCTGCTCACGTGATAATAACGTGAATTACGGCGCTTGGCAAGTTTACGAACCTTTGTTTGGTTCTTCAATTGCTATTTGCCGGCTCACCTGTTCCGAAATTTCACTTTCAATTAACGAAAAATAGCTAGAGAGAAGTCCAGGAAATGGTCGAACGTAGTACAATTTGGCAGATGGCGTGACAGTTTTAGCTCAGCTCTGACGAAGGGCTAACGCTCAAACCGTCAGCTTTTAAACTCTCTACGGTGGCCAATTTGCGTTATCAACTCAGTTCATAATATTAAATTACTCTTTTATACTGTTTTATGCTTTGAGAGAGCACCCTCTTTCAACCAATGACAGCGTACGTTATGTCCTAACTTCAATGTAATATGATAAGTCTTGCCCTTATATTTAGAATGTACTCACTATATAAATGCAAATTCGGGAGCTTGTAAGGTTTGAGCTATAGTGATGAAATTTTGAATTGTGACTGTCTGGTATAACTTCCAAATGAATGAAGGTTTGTCCACTTTCCTTGCTTTGGACCCACACGAGACTTCTTGTTTTGGCCAACGCAGTCAGAGGTTGATTCAGTTGATCGGAACCATTATGACTAAGGACTTTGTTGTTCATTTCGAAAGTCTCGTGGAATTGTTTGGCTTAGTGCTTTAACAACAAGTGTGTAATCTCCCAAGGTCAGCCAGCTGACATGCTCATCCATATCTATCAGTAGTGAATATACAAACATGTTCTTTGGGGCTCACTTAATGTTGTAGAGAGTAGAGCAGACTAGAAGAATGTAGACAGTGTGCTGAAGAGTAGGGATAAAATTCCGTAGTTGAAGGGAGCGTTTAGCAGAACACGTCAGTGAGAATTAACCAGTGAGAATCAAGGCGTAATAGATTAACCAGAGTTACACAGAGTGAGGAGAAATCGAATGTAAGAAAAATTGTGCACTGTATAACCTAGTAATGAAATAAAGCAAGAAAAAGGCAGTTCGACAATCTTGCAGCCTTTCGCCGAGCATGATGTCCTCGATGGCTAGTTCCCCCTCATGCCTGATGAGCCCAAGATTGGCGATCCGACATTGACTTGAGCACCAAGAGTGCATAATACGAATAACTCAATCGACTTATTCAGTCTCGCCTTACCAGCCTGATTCAAGCCTTCTGATTTGTCTGCCAAGAAGAAGTCAAATTGATTTTCAACTTTTTATTGTCATTCCTTATGATGTAAATCAGATTGCCTTTAATGGCTTTTCCACCCTCATAGCTGAACTTTTCTCTTCCTGGATAGGAGATTGAAGTCACTGGGGGACCAAGATTTGTAACATAAATGAAAACAGATCCGAGACCGTGCTCCCTCTTTGAAGCAGAAGTCTGTGCGAGTTGTGATACTCTAAATTCGAGAGTGGATTCGCTCTGGATTCCTCCTGTCTCAAAAAGAATAGTTCTGACGGCGAAGTATTTACGAAACATCAGAAACGACTTGATCTGTTCTGGAGCCTTATCGAGCACCTCACGAGAGATTCCACAGCCTGTAGTAGCACACCATACGGCAAAGTTGAGCCACTGAGATCAATAGCCAATATTTTGTCCCGAAAGCTATCTCTTTGATTCTGCACCTGACGTGTGCTGAATTTTCATTTTTGTGAATATTCCTCTGAATTTTGCATTGAAGTTACAAAGATGGGGTAACAAAGGTCTCGATCTCCTTAATTAAGCGACTCATTGCATTCTCATGAAATGGTACTGCCGGCACCTTCCTCACTCCTTTTAGAGTGAGCTCGATAGGACACCCTCCTATTCCAAGAGCTTTCTTCACATCATCATCCCAAAAATTTTCTGATCCTGAGAGGCTCGACTCAAGGAAACCTCAGCTGTCGCTTGTCTGTTGTCATTGAATGACACTTGTGCATTGAACTTACTCAGGTCTGCATTCGGATATTGTGCTTTGAAGTCATCCCAGGCCTTTCTCTTTTTTTGCTTTATCAGCAATTCTTTTTGCTTCATCTGATCTTAAACACGCAAACATTTTAATTATATCAAACAGTTCATGATGAGTAGGAAATGGCCGTTAGCACATTAATTTACTTCTCGCATCCTAAGCGCCCCAAGCTACGTTTTTTGTGTATTTTTTTTTTAATATTTCTATAAACTTGCGCTTGCTCTAGGTGTACTATGCCTAAGTGTATTCAGAGTTTTTAGATGTGCCACTCACAGATAGTTTATAAACATGATTTAATGCGAAGCTCGTAGCGCGCGCAGCGTAGCCCTATAATTATAAGAAATAGTAATAACCCATCAAGCCGCGGGCACTATCGTAGCCATTACGTAATGGAAGGGTGAGGGAGAAGATAATGCGCAGGCGTATTGCGCCAGTGCGCAGACGGGTGCCGAGCGTATTGCAGCATATTGAAGGCACACGGTTAGGCATTACGCAAGGGTTTCACGAGGGCTTGTAGATGTGAAGCCGCGCGAGCAAATAATTTGCAACCAGCGTCTTGAGCGGGAAATCATACTGTTAAGGTTGGAACAGTAATTCTCAGTATTTTCCAATTTCTAATCAACTTGCAAAGCAACAATATCGGCAGAGCTAAAGCTTTATCAACCGGAGGAAATTGTTATAATTTAAGTTCGTGGAGATAGGGTTTTGATATAGAAAAAAAAAATAAGCTAGAAACAAAGGGAGGGAGCGACCAACGAAGCAAGAAGTGAAAGGCGTAAAGTGAGTCAAGAAAAACGCGAAAGAATATTAGAAAGGACGCTAAAATTGGCAAAATACGACGGGAGGAACGTGAAAGAGAACTAGAAAAGGCATAAGTAAAAAGGCGGTTACCTAGCAAAGAGCAACGCGAGAAGGAAATACAAAGACGCTCCAGAAAACAGACTGAAAAGAGTTCATCAACAAAGAGAAAGCGAACTGCAAAGGATCCGTGAAAGAAGAGGAGGTAAGCTGAGTCTTATTAAGGCCCAGAGGAATTCGACCTTTTTCTTACCAATTGCCGTTTGATACCAGCTTCAGTTTATACATAATTCAAATCACGTTCCGGTTTAACAATAACTTTGGCATTTATCGCTTAAAAGCCCTCGAACTGGTTCCTCGCATTTCAAAGTGTTCGTATTCTTCTTTTCCTATCGTTTGGAACGTTAAATACAGTCGTGGTGATAAGGGAAAAGAAGTTATCTTACGGATTTTGTTTTGCTAGAAAGTTTTCAAATGATAGCGAACGGCGTGGGCAAGTTTCCACTTTCTTTCTCTCTCCTTTCCCAAAATTGAAATAAAATGAAATTGAATTAGCGATGTTCATGTTTACATTAAGTCTGACGGGGTAATTTAATTTTGGAAGGAAGTTTTGTTGACGCATTACGTAAATAATAAAACATGGAACGACCTAAAATCACCTAAAACCACCTACAATCACCTACGATCACCTCAAAAATT